CTTATCCATTCACATGTGGAGGGGCATCCTTTTTGCTTCCAGCCTTCTGGCAGATATGTATAAAGTGGCTGTAAATATTCAGCTGCAGGTTCTTGTGTAGACATCAGTTTTCAACTTTTATTGGGTAAATATTAATGCAATTGCTGAATCATATGGTACAATAATGCTTAGTTTTGTGAGAAACTCTAAGTGGCTCTATCGTTTTCCATTCTCACCAGGGGTATGAGTTCTGTTGCTCCCATGTTAGTATTGCCAGCAATTAGTATTGTCTGTCTGGGGACATCAGCCATTCTGAAGTGTACACAGTCCCATTGTTTTACTTTGCAATACTGTAACGACAGGGAAAATGTGGGGTGTTTTGTGTTTATTTGCCATCTGTGTGTTTTCTTTGGCGAGTTGTTTACTTACATCTTTTGCCCATTTTTAAAGTGGTTTTTGTTGGTTTTATTGAGTTTTAAGTTTCCCTTTGTATACAATACTCTATCAGATGTGTTTTGCAAATATTTCCCTTGATTTTTATTTCATTCTCTTTACAGTGTATCGGATAGAGCAGATATTTTAAATCTGAGAGTCCAACTTATGATTGTTTCTTTTCATGGATCGTGTTATTGACGTACTTTAAAATCCATTGTCAAAGCCAAGGTCGTGTACATTTTTTCTTATGTTTTCTTCAGTATACGTTGGTTTTAAAATCTGACATTGAGATCTATGATCATTTTGAGTTAATTGTTCTGTAACATAAGGCCTGTCTGGGATCTTTTTAAAATATATACATCTGATTGTTCCAAAACCATTTTCTTAAGACTATCTTTTCTTTATTAAATTATCTTTGCTTCTTTGTCAAAGATCTGTTGACTGTAGGGGTCCATTTCTGGGCTGTCTAGTCTGTTCAACTGATATGTGTCTGTTCTTAAATACCATGTGGTCTTGATTACTTGATTACTTTAGAATAAATCTTGAAAATATGTGAGCCACATAAACTTATTCTTCCTCTTTATTATGTTGGTTATTCTGGGGATTTTGCTTTTCCACATAAACTTTAGAATAATTTTGATATCTACAGAATAATCTTCTGGTGTTGTACCTGAGATTGTATTCAATCTACAGATCAAGTCTGGAACAACTGACCTCCTCACAATATTGAGTGTCCTAATACATGAATTTGGATTATATCTCCATTTATTTAGAGCTTTGGTTTCTTTCAGTCTTCTAGTTTTTGCCTCATGTATTTTGGTGTTCTCTGTCAAGTGCGTGCACATTTAGGATTATCTTCTTGGAAACTGCCTTTCTATCTTTGTTGGGCCCCTCTTTATCCCTGATAATGTTTGTTCAGAAGTCCGCTCTGATCCAGGTAAACGGATCTTGACTGTGTCCGAGTTCGCCTGTCTCTCTAGATTTCAGGAGAGTGGATAGATCTGCAGCCTGTCTTCTGACCTGTCCGAGAAAAGTTGTTGATTTTCATCTTGTCCTGCTTTTTCTTGTTTTGAGATGGAAGTGATGATTTCCAAGCATTTCACATGTCAGCACCAAAACCAGAAGTTCTTGATCATTTTTTTTGTTTTTACACAGATTAGAACATTTCCATCAATCACCTTCACTTAATCTTTCCTCTGTCATCTTCATCCTGACTTTGAGCCCATATGGTGAAACTTCCTGATTTTCATATTTCTCAGTTCTAAAATTTTCACTTGGATATTTTTTATGTAATCAGAGATCACTCCTCCCTGACTTCTGGTAGAAAGATAAGACAGTTTGCTTTTCTGTTCTGCCATGTGTTTGTGACCCTCTAGGGCCAAGAAGTAAAAAGGTAGAAAGCAACAGAATTTACCATATGTTCTTGGAAACAGTTCCTCTGGTCAGAGAGAAAGGTTTTCCTCCACTGAAATTTTTGGGACTGTCCTGCCTCTGCTGTCACCACTGTGCAGACATGGGATTGCTGGCAGGGCCTTTCTGGTATTTTGTGGTACAAAATTAATCTCACTTTTCTGAGGTTGTTTTTTTTTTTTTTCCAAGACTTCTTTTACGGTTCCAAGGTTGTGGTATTGGTCGATATTCTCTCATATGCTTTCTATCTTCCAAAATCTTGAAAAAACAGAAAAAAATGTCATCTCTCTATTCTTTTGATTTCTATATTTTATCATTTTAACAGGACTTTAGGGAGAAACCGGAAATAAGTACTGTGATGTAATCACTAGCCTGTCTCTTGACTTCTCTGGTCGTTCTGCTCCTTGTTCAGTTACCTTCTGTGGCCCCTCCTCGCTTTGTCACACTTCCATTGTAATTGTCACAATGTTTTCTGCAATGTGCTAAGTTATCTTTAAAAGCAATCAAGACCATGGGTAATGGTTTACGGTTGGTTTCTACCCCTACTTGGGCGTTTCCCTCTCAAATGTTGGCAAACAGAACACATTTCCACTTTGGATTTCTCTCCTCCTAGGGGACAAGGTCTGAAACCAGAGACAATTCCACAACAAAACGTTACTGAAAATATACTATAAACTGTTGAAGTAATAACAACATTTATGTAACAGGATATGTGTTATCACCTTCGTCAACAGTTAACAGGTCAATTAGGATCTGTTCTAAATACATTCTTTGAACTGATGGTTCTTTGTACAACCTTTAGAAGCAACCTGGGAAGCTCATGAATAGTGCTTCGATGGGTGGGCATTTTTTCAAGCAAGCGCAGAACTTTTATACAGATTGAGAATATTCTGAGCCATGAAACAAATTTCAACCAACTTCCGAAGAGTTAGAATCATAAAGGATATTACTATCATAAAATCATCAAGGGCTATTAAACTTTTAATGGAGAATAATTATTAATCTAAAAGCATCCCCTGGGGGGGAGGGTATAGCTCAAGTGGTAGGGCACATGCTTAGCAGGCGCAGGGTCCTGGGTTCAATCCCCAGGACTCCCCCGAAATAAATAAACCTAATTACTTCCCCCCCAAAAAATAAAATGATACAATAATAAATAAAACATTAAAAAATATAAAATAAAAGCATCCCCTACAAAGACAAGTATGAGGATAGGATCAGAAAGGTCAGTTTGGCTCGAATAAAATTCCTTTTTTTTCTTCAAGGAAAAAAAAAGCATCTCCTTATAGATTATATATTAATTACAAAGAGAAAAATATTCTTTCCAGTAGAGAAACTCGGAGAGCCCCACCTTAATCAGGTGATGAAAGTTACCATCACCAGTAATAGGACAGTCACATCATGTCCTCCTCATATGCCTGAAGGGATATGAGTTTCTTTCAAAAATTCATAAATGTCAGAGATGCATATTCTGAATCTAATCATGAAGAAACATTTAACAAACTGAGTGATATAACTTAGCACATTAACAGATTAAATAAGAAATATTTAGAAAAAGTTTAAGAAAAGACTACTGAAGTAGACACAAATTAGAAAAAAGAATGCCAAAAGATAACTGAACAGACCTATGCTACATACTGAGAGCCTCCAAAGAACTTGACAAAAGCACCCCAGCAGAGAACCGCCAAGTGCAGAGAGCGGTATGCCAGGGTTACTGTGAGTTACCATGCAAACAGGAACTTGACCTCTTTTTCTAATACTTAAGCTCCGTCCACAAATCAATTAGAAACCAGGGACCGCAAGCTGGGAGCTAAGAGGACAGGAGGAGCGAAGCCACCTGTCCTCTTTCCTCATCAGCCTTCTTCCTCACCCTCCAACACGCCTGAGCTCAGGGGAGGGGAGAAGCCCCACCTGTAAACAACGCTAAGCGTTTGCTTTCTCCACTGGCCTCAAAGTCAGGGCACAGTCTGCCTATTATTTCATTTGGGGTCAGAGAAAGTACGTGTTCCACCCAAATAGACTTAATGGGACAGTGTCTGGTAAGAATGAATCTGCCTTGTCATCTCCCCAAGTTGTGATTACTCATTACAAGTCACACACTCACCCGGACTCCACTGTAGCTGGGCATGCAATTCGCTAAGGTTCTCCCAGGCACCCCCAGAACACTGGAGGTGGAGGAAGTGAGCAGCGGGGTGGGGGCAGCACATGGAGGGACAGGCGCCACAGTGGCAGAGTGACTGGTTCTCCTGAGGCGGCTGTGGAATTGCTGGCATCCATTCCCCAGAACAGTGGGCGACGTGCAGCTGGTGGCAGTGACAGCAGCAGGTTTCTGTGAGCGGTACTGGGTTCAAGTACTGGTCAAGGAGCAGTGCACCTGAGCCTCGATCAGAGCATCTGAGGTACATCTGGGCCTTTATCTTTACTACTTTTTCCTGGGTTGTGCAGGCCAAATTTTTTGGCCTCCTGAAACTTGCTTCAAGTTCTAAAATATCCTTTATTAAATCCCTTGCTGCTTAAAATAGAGAAAAATTGCAGATACAATCCATTCTATTTTACCAGTAGAGACATCAATAAATAACTGCATAAAAATACAGCAGAGCAGGTAAAAGAATGAGATTGGTATTTTTCAGTAGTTTAATATCCTACGTACTGTCAATGCAAATTACGGAAAGACGTGTCACTGCTTGTTACTTAGGTGGTGCCTAGTATTACGGGTTTCTGTGTGTACATCTAAGTATTTGTTTTTGTGTGTGTGGGGGGGGAGATTAGGTTTATTTATTTTGATGGAGACGCTGTGGATTGAACCCGGGACCTCGTGCATGCTAGGCACGCACTCTGCCACTGAGCTGTACCCTCCCCCTAAGTACTGGTTTTATTCGGCTTCTGCAGACCCAGGGAGAAGAGCAGGACCGAAGGGAAAACACTTCACCTGTTTCTGAGATGACTTACTTACGTTATAAAACATTAGTCAAAGACAGTAAGATGCCTAATTACTAGGCAGTAGTTACACAGGTGCTACTGCTTTTCTCTATTTTAGTCAAGGTTTAAAGCATAAAACACAACTTGGAAAAATGAGATGAAAGACAATTCAGGAATAAAACCAAAAACGATACCACATAGCAAAAAGATAAAATGGGAGTCAACAAACTACAGCCTGTGGCCCAAATGCGGCCTGTTGCTCGTTTTTGTGAATAAGTTTTATTGGAACACAGCCACACCCATTAGCTTACAGATCAGGATTTCTCAACCTCAGGACTGCTGACATCCTGGACCAGATAATTCTGCTAGAGGTGGGGCAGGGAGTGGGGTGTGGGGAGGGTGTTTAGCAGCATCCCAGACTCCAGCAGCACCTCCCTTTATAGTGACAACCAGAAATGTCTCTGGACAGTCTGCTGGGGCCGGGGACAGGGATGGCAAAATTACCCCTGGTTTATGTACTACGTGTTTTCACATTAGGAAGGCAGAGTATGACCACAAACCCTAAAATACTTATTATTTGGTCTTTCACGATAAAGTTTGACTCCTTTTGTCATATAAAGGAAATACATGCTAGACTAAGAAAACAAACCGCGACCTGACAAAACAATCTCCTAAAGTTTCTACAAATTGCTTCAAAAACTACTCCAATTATAAAACGAATGGATAAAAACAAGCAAATCATAGAAATACAATTTAAATGACTCTTGGGCATGGTAGATAAGAAGCTCACCTCACTGGCAGCTAAGAAAATGCAAATTGAAGGCACATTTTCCCCTACCCCTCAACTTAACAAAAGTTCAGTCCTGGTTGAAGCTGCTACAAATGGACATAAAATCCTGTAGAGGTTAATGGCGAGTTTCAGAAAATAGGACATTAATTATTACATTTTAAATATGCTATGTTGTAAGGCAGGGAATCCAACCGTTAGGAATCCATCCACTTTACAGAAACACCAACATGTACAGTAAAATTGTTTTGTACAATTTGTAAAAAATAACTCTCATTGGTAGAATGGACTGCATGTATAATGGTTTGTCTTTCTTAGGTCAGCGCTTAAAGCTAAATGGTTACGTCTGTAGGTTCCAGTGGGAAGGCAGGCCGTGCAGTGTTGGCAAGTGAGAAAAGGCGGCTGTGCTTCAGCCTGTCAGCACAACCCCATTCGAGCTACACCCTCCCCGCCAGGACCCGATCACCAACAAACATCCCCGGTGTGGGGATGAGCATATGGAAAAAGCATGGGAGGGTTTTGACACCGGCACTTCAGGGAGTAAGTATGGACTGCTTTTCTTTTCTTTTTTCCTTCCTGTTTAAACCTTTGCAGTACACCTCTTATTTCTGGTAAAACATGTTATATGACATTTATAATCCAAAAAACGTTAAAGATTGTAACAAAACCAAGTACACCTAGTTTTACCTGGCTTTTAAAGTTTTTCAAGTCTTCTAAAGGACACATGTTCCCGTAGAATACTATGTACAACTTTCAAGAACAGACTTAAGAATAAATATACCAGTGTAGATAAAATTTGGTAATCACTTCCCTCTTTTAAAAAATGCTCAAATTTTTGTTATAAACTGCCTTCCAATGGATTGACTGTTAGCTATGACCAATTTAATCACATAATACATGTTTACATTAAACTTACTTAAGTATGTATTCTAAAGCATGGGGCAAAGCTGGAACCCACTGGATGGTGACTATTCCAAATGCTATGAATGTCTAGACCACGAGGTGTGATAAAATGGACCAGAACAGTGACATCACAGCAGCTGAACACACATGCACTGTAACAGCTTACTACTTTCAGTAAGTTATTTTAGTGTCTAGTTTTCAATGTGCAATGCTACACTTACACATTTCTTATAATTTGACAGGTCAGATAATGAACCATTTTATTTTGGATTTAAAAAACCCTATTTTCTTCTAAAGGGCTGCTAGATTTGACTTGCTATTTTAATTGGAATATTCATTATGAGTACAATGGATTATTTTTATAGCTGATTTGACCTGGAAGCTGTCCTTTTCCAAATGTGGTATAAGGGTTCTGCTGGCCTCATGGCTGATACTCTGTATCTTAAAGACTTAGAAGATTTTATCTGTAAGATACTCTAGTATAAGAGGAATTATATAGTGTAGTTCTTTAATCACTTTCTTCTTGGTTCTTAACTATACTCAGAAAAATATTTTTCCTGGATTTCAGACATACTATAAAAAACTGAATATAAACATACATTATAAAATGCTGAATGTAAACAAGCATTTCCCACATCTTACCAAATCGAAGTTGTGCATATATATCCACATATATGTTTAAGAAAATGCTTTTTCCATAATTTCATATAAACTATAAAAAGCTGAATATAAACATTTTCTCATCCTACTTAAGTTGAATAAATGTGAAATATGAAAATGTGAAATATGAAAATATTATTTTCCAGGACTCAGATATATTCTATAAAGTGAATATAAACTTAGGTAAGCATTAAATTTCTTATTTAGCACAAGTCCAGGCACAGGGCAATTCTGAGTTGTTTCATCAGCTCAACAATGTCAAGGACACAGGTAATTCCCATCTATTGCTTGTGCCAACCTCAGCTTCTGCCTCCTCTGGCTTCAAAATGGCCACAACCCACGTTATCCCACAGATGTACAGGCGTGCATCCCGTGTGTAGGAAGACTTCCTTTTACATTGTTAGTAAAGAAAATTTAACTGAAGCTTACGTGCAGAGCTTTGCTTAGATCTTCTGTGGCCAGGTGTTTCACATATGCAAAGCCATTAGGAGGGCAAGCATCCTGCATGTAGACTTAGGTGGGTAGCAGGCAAGCCTGGCAAAGGGCGAATGGTGAACACGAACGGCCAGGCAACCAAGTGTTCACCATATTGACACCACCTTATTTCTTGATCTTCATTTCTGTAGTTACGTATCCTTTCTCACTTACAAAGCTTGAATTTTTTCTTTTCAGGTTGCAATCTTTTTCATTTCAAAAGTTTTCAAGGTGTTTTTTTTGGCGGGGGGCTCTCCACTTTGTTAGAGCACTTCAACATACTAGAGTTGAACGCGTGTTCAGTCACTCTCCCATTCCTCTGATCAACAAATCTTCTCTGGGAACCTACGAGGAACTGTTCCAAGTAGTGTACCAAGTACAGTGAAGTGAGGATGCATCCTGGCTTTTAATTGTCCGTTTCTACATATACTGAAGTTAAATTCTCCTAGAGTCACGCTCTGGTTGCTTGCTACAGATTTCAACTGAAGTTGTTTCTGTCATTCATTAGTAATGATAATTTGTTTTGATTTCCTTTTTAATATAAAACGATAGGCATCTTTTAAATTTCTCTGTGGAGAAATGGATTTTGGCTAAGGCTTTATTTCCTAATTCTCCAGAAAAGAGGTAAGAGATTGTCGCATGTCTGTTTTTTGGAAGGTTTAAAAAAAAAAAATCATCTAAATCTTCCCCCTGACCTCACAGCAACCCACCTCCATTCTGCTGGGGTTCTTTACATGATGAGCCCCCTGACAGGGAAAGGGGCAACATGTGAATGAAAGCTTCAGTTTTTAATTTTTCTCCAGAAAGCACTGACATCCCTCAAAGAGATGAGGTAAGGTGTTGATATAGTCACTGCACAATGCGGCCTTCCTCTCATCTCGAAATACACAATTATGAAAAAAAGTAACAATAAAGCAGCTCTTATTTAAACTTCAGTATGAGCCAGACACTATTCTAAGGGATACTATGTACACAATGCTACTAAGAAACATGGTGCTAATACTACTAGCTTATAAGTGAGAAAATTAAGCTTATAAAAGAAAATTAAGTAAGTGGCCCTATAAAAATGAGTTATAATGATGAAGGCAAGAAAACACTAAATATTGGTTAAATCTTCTCCAACTCTGATTCAGTTCAGGTTAATTTTAGAGAATAAGCTTGCAAATGCTTGACAAGAATTGAGTGGAATGGAACAATCTGCGTTTTTAACATTAATGTAGCCTTCCTTTAGTACGAATTATCAGATGAATAACTTGTTAACTGAAGCAAATTGGTGTTCCACATATGTATTTGTCTTATGAATCCTCTGATTTCCCCTGAGGGCTAATGACTTGATGTTAAGTTTGAACGATTCATGTCTCTAACACATTCACTATCTTCCTAATAATAAGTCCTCCCACTTCCCTTATATTCGTGGAATGTTTTCTACTTTTTCACCAGTTGAACTCTGATGTCTGATAAACTGTGAAATGCAAACCCTTCCTAATTCTGAACATTTAGGTGGTTTCTCATCAGTAACAAATGTCAAACTCTGGCCCCTAAATAAAGAAGGCCTCACATCCACATAAGAACTCTGATGCTTAGTAAACAGTTCTCTCGAAATGCTTCCCCACATTCCTTATAATCAGATGGGGTTTTGTGATTTACTAATATGAATTTTCAGGTGCCAAATTCTGGGCCTTCATTCTGGGTACATTTCTTCATTCACTCCTCTGTCCGGTATGAATTCTCTGATGTTGACTGAGGTGTGAGCCACGAATGAAGGCCTTCCCACAGTCCTTACATTCATAGGGTTTCTTACCCGAGTGAATTTTCTGGTGTCGATTCAGTTCCGAGCCCCGACCAAAGGCCTTCCCGCATTCCTTACACTCATAGGGCTTTTCGCCCGTATGACTTCTTGCGTGATGAGTAAGCTCTGACCTTCGAATAAAAGCCTTCCCACATTCCTTACATTTATGAGGTCTCTCACCCGTGTGAACTTTTTGATGTCGAATAAGTTCTGTGCTACAAGTAAAGGCCATTTTACATTCCCTGCATTTATAGGGTTTCTCCCCAGAGTGAGCTCTCTGGTGTCGAGTAAGTTCTGAGCCCCGGCGAAAGGCCTTCCCACATTCCTTACATTTATATGGCTTCTCCCCGGTATGGACACTCTGATGGCGAACAAGGTGTGAATCGGAGATGAAAGCTTTCCCACATTCCTTACATTTATGAGGTTTCTCACCGGTGTGAATTCTTTGATGGAGATTCAGTTGTGAGGCACAGCTGTAAACCTTGCCACATTCCTTACACTCGTAGCGTCTCTCACCAGTGTGAATTATCTGATGAAGACTAAGTTGTGTGTCGTAACGGAAAGCTTTCCCACATTCCTTGCATTTATGGGGTTTCTCACCAGTATGGATTCTCTGATGTCGAAAAAGGTGCGAGGGACGGGTAAAGGCTTTCCCGCATTCCTCACATTCATAGTATTTCTCATCAGTATGGATTCTCTGGTGTAAATTAAGTTGTGAGGTAGATGGAAAGGCCTTCCCACACTCCGTACATTTATAGGGTTTCTCACCTATGTGAATCCTTTGATGTTTTCTAAGTTGTGAGCTAGAATGAAAGCCTTTCCCACACTCCTTACATTTATGAGGTTTCTCAGCAGTATTAATGCTCTGAGATTTAGTCATTTCAGAGTCACGAAGAAAGGCACATTTCTTATTCTCATTACTTTTTTTGCTTCCATGAATTCTCTGATGCTTAACCAGGTCTGACCTACTGCTAAAGGCTTTCCCACATTCTCCACATTTAGAGCCTTTTCCCTTATGACGACGTCCTCCCTGTCGACTGCGGTGTGGCTGGCACCTGAAAGCCTCATTACTTTCCTTGGATTCACAGGATTTGCCTCCAGCATGAACTGTCCGAGGTGCTCTACGATCTGTGCGCTGGATGGAAGCGAACCTTTCTCTAGAGGCAATTACGGCTTGTCTAAAACGCTCCTCCGGCAGCCTCTCCACGCGGCACTTGACCTCTCTGTTACTCCTGACCCTGGGGCACTCAAGGTGAGAACGTGTAGATCTTTCTGTTACATCCGGTTGCAAAGATCGAATTTCATAGCTCTCCTCCTTTAGAGAGAAATTCTTAGCTTCTCTTCTGGACTCCCAACCTGTAGGATAAGAAGAAAGAAAACAGTGAGTATTTTCATGTTGCAGAAGAGGGAGAAGTTCTAAGGTAGGAATAACAAACTAGAAACAGCGAATAATTTAAACAGCTCTTAACACTGCACTGCAATTTGAAAAAAGGGGAATTGGGAAAATAATAGAGAAGATGAGGGGAGCTTGTGAAGGAAGTGATTCTTTCATCTCTGGTGAGACTCTCAGTCAGTTGGGGACCTTGTTAAAAAATATGATGTCCAGACACCACTCAGCCATGAAAAAAAAAATACAGTAATGCCGTTTGCAGCAACACGTATGGACCTAAAGATCATCATTCTATGAGAAGTGGCCGGAAATAGAAAAATACCATATGACATGATTCACATGTGGAATCTAAAAAATAAATAAATAAAATAGAACATCTGATGTCCAGGAACCACCAAAGACTAAGTAAATGGGAATCTAAAGGAGCAGGACGTTGTGTCTAACAGCAGTCCTCTCACGTGCAGCCTCAAATAGAGCCAGACTTTGCCTCCTTCTCTCTGCTAGTAACTCTAGTGGAGGCACTTTGTCCAAAGCCATCCCTCACCAAGATTAGCAAAACACTATCCTCACGCATCTCCCTGCTTCCACTGCTGCCCCTGTCACCCCACAGCCAACACAGTAGCCAGGGTGTTCTTGCTAAAATAAGTCAGATCCTGCCAGTCTTCTGATCAAAAACCTCCACTGGATTTCCTTCTCATACAAAGTAAAAGTCAAAACCCTGATGTGGTCTCCAGGGCCTTCCCTGAACTTGTCCTGCACTACCTCTTTCTGACCTCAATGCCTGTCTCCTCCCCTTAGCTGACTCTGCTTCAGCTCCTTGACCAGCTGGATGTTCACACGTGCCAAGTACACCCCTCCCTCAGAGTCTCTGCCTGCAAATGTCTTCCCTGAGAAGAAATGTCTTCCCGGCTCATTCAATGACTTCATTCTGACCTCAATTCAAATGCCAACTCGAGACCACTCTTTACAAAACAAGACCCACATCACTATTTTTTTTTTGCAGTGCACTTACCACATGCCATTTTATCTATTTCCCAACATTATTATGAAACCTTTCAAAGGAACAGAAAAATAACAAGAATTGGACAGTGAACCGCCATGTTCCCAGTACCTAGATTCCACAGTCAACAGTCGGCCCCTACTTGCCTTACCACACATCTGTCCCTCCTTCTCTCCACTATCTGGACCCTGCTTCCCTGCTCACCTTCACCTGAGGAGCTCTCACCTTCACGCACCATGAGCCCACTCTACTGGCCTCCATTTGACTCCCGCATCATGCCAATGACCGTCTCATCTTAGACCCTTTCAGGAAATGTTTCGTCTTCCATGAACGTTCTCTGTTCAGGATCTCTGCATGGCCAGCTCCTCTCATTCTAAATATCTTATTTTCTGTCATGTATCCTGTTCTTTGCCCTCAATCTTTTCCTCAATTATGGAATTACATATTTGTTCATCAGTTTATCTACCAGTATAACTTCTCCCCAAATGGCCTAGAACTAACCTAATGTTTATTTTACTCTCCATGATATAACCAATTCCAATCCCCAGCACACAGTTCAGTTCACGTTAAATAATCTAATCCCCAGATGAAGGGAATTCAGATGGAAATAAAGAGAAACGTGCTGACGATGATGAGCTTAGGAGAGCGACCTGAGATGCAGAGATATCACTCCACATCACTAAATAGCTCTTAATTATTTAACTGGTGACGGAGGTGTCTTCTGCCCCACTTAAACGTGCTCTCCCTACATCACTCCTCACGCCTGTGGCAGCGAAGCATAAACAAGCCAGCACCATTAGAGTACGTCCGCACATGTGCCTGCACCCGTCTCCAAGAGTACTGGCAGTTTTACACAATAAAAATCTTACGTAATCCTGAGAAAATGCCAGTGGAAATCAAGGATACTATGGCAACCACTTACAAGAGATTGTATGGTATTGTGACAACACATTCTAGAGCCAGAATGCTCGGGTGTGAATCCTAGCCCCACAATTTGCTGGCCTTCTGACACTGGACAGTTAACTACTCAGATACCAAGAAGGGCTGCTCTGAGACAAGGAGATGCTTGTTCTCCAGGCGCTCAGTGTAAGGTGTCAGAGCTTTAGGCAGGCACCCCGCTGCTTGGGCTATTCCCCTTGCTCTTGTTATGGTCCTGGGTGGTTGGACTGGCCCAGAGCAGGACGCAGAAAAGATAAATAGCTGGGAAGCCTGGAAAGATGAATAAACCTGGCACAACTGGTGAGCAGAGAAGTTCTTCTGTGACTAACACATGGTCTGTCTGTGGGATCTAATGAAAATGCCACTTACACTGGGGATGCTCTGATTTTGTCCTTGGGAGAAGAGTACAAGTGACTGGTAAAATAATGGCTTTTTATGTTGTATGGGAAGTTCCAGACATCAGATATCAGAAGATGCTATTACTTCAAATATTTTGGAAAAACAATCTGTCAGAAAAAAAAAAGCACAAAAAACATGGACTGGAATCGTAATTATGGACCTTAGAGGAATGTTCACAGCGAAAAAGTAACATCCAACAAGGAGGCTCACATTGCTCTGTCCCGTGCACTCACTCATGAATGCTAAAAAACCGTTCCTCTAAATCAATCTCAAATCTCTCCACTTTTTCTACTGCACAGTTAATTTAGCACAAAGCCAAATAAAATAGAAAAAAAAAGAGAAAATCAACGTAACTATAAGTTGATTCTTTGAAGGGATCAACAAAAGTGACAACTTTAAACTGGATGACTGATCAAAGGAGAAAGACAGAAGACTCACACTAATACCGGGAATGAAAGAGGGGATATTACTACCAACCCTACAGAAATAAAAAGCACTACAAGGCAATATATGGACAACTATACGCAGCAACTTAGACAACCTAGATGAAATGGACAAAGTCCCGGAAAGGCACAACTACCAAAACTGACTCAAAAGGAAAGCGAACATCTGAAAAGACCCGTAACAAAGAGATTGAATGATAATTTTAAAACTTTCCCACAAAGAAAAGCCCAGGACCAGTTGGCTCCACTGCTGAATGTATTAAACACTTAAAGGAAAGTTAATACAAATCCTTCACCAACACTTCCAGGAAACAGAAGAGGAGGGAATACTTCTCAGTGAATTCTGAGGCCACTACTACCCTGATACCAAAACCAGAAAAAGGCACAAGAAAACTATAGATTAATATTCACTGTTTAATACAGATATAGAAATCCTCAACAGATAAAACCAACCTAAATCCACCAATAAATAGGAAGGGTTAGAGACACCATGACCAACTGTGATTTACCTGGGCAAAGCAAGGTTGGTTTAACAGCCAAAAATGTATCAGCGCAATATACCATATTATCAGAACAAAGGACAAAGACCGCATACCTCAGTATATGCAGAAAAAGTAGTTAACAAGAGCATCCGAAAAACCCTTTCATGATAAAAACATTCAACAAACTAGGAAAAGGGAAGCATTATTCATAACAGCCTAAAAGTGGAAAACAAACCAAATGTCTATCAATTGATGAACAGATAAACAAAATGTGGGATATTCATAACTTGGCAATATAAATAAAGTGCTAGTATATGCTTCAACATATATGAACCTTGAAAACATTCTAACTGAAAGACGCCAGTCACAAAAGACTACATGTTGTGTGATTTCATTAATATGAAATGTCTGGAACAGCCAGTCTACAGACGGAAGGTAGATTAGTGGTTGTCTAGTGCTGACTGTGGGGAGTTACTGCTAATGGGCATGGGATTTAATGGCGGGATGAGGAAAATGTTTTAAAATTAGATTGTTGTCACGGTCACAAAACTCTGAAAATACTAAAAACCACTGAACTGTATACTCTAAATGAATGAGTTGTATGGCATGTCGATTATATGTCAATAGAGCTATTTTAAAAAGTCAGAACAAAACTGGACCCAAAGTGCAGGGAAAATGATTGTCTCAAGGGAAGGAGGAAGGCACTTTCTTCCCAAAATCAGAGGGGATATGAGGAAGGGTGGCAAGAAAGTGGGAAGCGGAGTAAAAATTGGGGGGCTCATGCTGAAACATCCTTGCTTTCACTCCAGATCTCAGGCTTTTTCAGGGAGCTTTCTTACCAGCATCTCAGGAGTGTCACAGGCCAGCTGGGTGACCACCATTACTCACCTGGGCACCATTCTTTTGACTCTTTGCTCTTAACCATCCAAGGGTCCTTCCCCTGCTCCAATAAGGAGATCACATCTGGCTTAGAATCTGAAAATCCTATTCAAGGAGGGGAAAAAAAGGACTAAGTTATGTGTGGCTATCTCAGAATTAAAAGCAGTCCATGATTATCAAGAAAGAAGAATAAGTAAAGTAAAGGTCAGAGGAAAGGGTGAGGGTCAGAAGAATGAAAAAGATAAAGTTGTCCAATGGAACAGCCAATTTCTAACTTCACAAGGGACAAAGCATTCTTTGGTCAGCAAGAATCATTAAGTCAGCCAGGCACTTGGAAAGCACTCATGAGAAATTTATAACAAAGATTCCAGAAGGCTGATTCTGGATTTTGGAGGGCAGATAAACTCACCCAGTGAGAGCAGGTTGTCATAACTCTCCAACATTACATCTCGGTACAAATCCTTCTGAGCAGAAAGCAAGCCTTCCCACTCCTTTTGAGAGAAGTAAATGGCCACATCTTTGAACTTCAAGTCCTGAAACTGCAAATAAAAATACACAGAAATTAATGGACAAAACTTTATAACAGGATAAAAGAAAATGCATAAAGCAATTCAATAAGGGAAAACAGGCTTGGCTGGACCTTTCAACACAGATGGGTCAGTGTGGAAACAAGGATGATCACAGCACACATTCCTGGTGCACACATCCTTCTCTTTTGTTTGAAATTGAGATATAGTTGATGTACTATATTGTATGTTTCAAGTATACAAAAATAGTGATTCACAATTTTTAAAGCTTATATTCCATTTATAGTTATTATAAAACATTGGTTATATTCCCTGTGTTGTACAAATCATTCTTAAACATGCCTGCAGCTACAGATATAACCTCTTGGCATCATTCTCTATCGTTATCACCCAGGTCTAGGAATAAACAAAGGTCAGATAATTGGTGTTTCCCAATTAAATGAAACTGTACACGCAAGTACACAGCACATGCTACGTTCAGCACACAATACTTCTGTCTCCTTCCGTTCTTTCATTTAAAAAAATGTTTAAAAGTTCAAATATATCTTTAAAAATGTCTATCTCTGGCAGGGAGGGCATAGCTCAGTGGTAGAGTGCATGCTTAGCATGCATGAGGTCATGGGTTTGCTCCCCAATACCTCCGTTAAATTAAAAAATAAATAAATAAATGAACCTAATTACCTCCCCCACAAAAAACAAATGAAAAATGTCTATCTCTGAAAATAGGATTTGAACATAACTTACATGATTTAATAATTTCTTAAAAACTCAGGTTCATAAATATACCAGAATATTTAATCCTAATCATTTTCCATGTCACAAGTAGACATCATTTTTATTGGCTGACCAACACCGTCCATCTTATGTAGTCAATGTTCATATTTTGCAGCACTAGGTTAGACAAGTTCTCTAAAATCCTTTTGAAGTTCTGAGAGTCATTATTTTTCAATAATTTATACATATGGTTAAACTGTTCCTGTTACAATAAATCATCCCTAACTATTCTTTCCTTGTTCCTTAGCTATCAGAGCTGATGAAGTAAGATCCAGATGATGAAGTAAGACCAAAGATGAGCATACACTATGCAAGTTCAAAATGGACCCGAGACTCCTTGGAATATCATGTAACTTTATACAGTGAATCTGTCATTTCCCCTGTCATATTCCTAGTCTAAAAAATCTGAGTTAAAGATATGGACAAATACTGAGAATGTAATGAATTATTGTCAATTACCTTCTTGTCTAATTGGAAAACTCAAATTTGCAACATGGAATCTCACTTAAACCCTCACCTCCACTTTATGCAATCCCAGGTCTCATGAGGGAGGTACCAAATTTCCAGCAAGGGTTGGTTTTCCCATCCCATCAGTACTTCTAGTAGAAGGATCTGCACGGAAGGAATGCTAAGTGGTTTTCTGAATGAATAACTAAGGATTTGCTGGAGATGAGAGGAACCCTTAGGGGACAGCAGCCCAAAGCAACATCACTCACTGGAATGGGAAGAACTGGGGAAGAGAAGTTCCTTGGAGGGGCTCAGAAATGTAGGCAGTTTCAAGAAAAATAAATACACTGTTCAAATCTTCCAAATTAACAAATTCATTCCATGAAGGAGAGAAGACACATCAATTCATACAATGGCTTTTAGAGTTGCAAAATCAGATCATTTATATCCTGCGTTCATCCTAGAGAAATGCAGAGCTCGAAAAGTCAAAGGAGGAAGAAGCAAGAGTAGCCCCAAGTCACCAGACTGAGCTCAGAGTCCCCAAAGGACTGTGTGTGCACGTGCGTGCGCGCGCGCTCTCGCTCTCACTCGCGCTCGCGCTCACTCGCGCTCGCTCTCACTCGCGCTCGCGCGCTCTCGCTCTCTCTCTCTCTCTCTCTCTCTCTCTCTCTCTCTCGATGTTTAGGGGAGAATAACAAACCTTTGCTTTCCTTGAACCAAAGGGAATCCAACTATACATAATGTATTCAGAAGAAATATCTTTTTCACCATCAGAAGCTCATCTGAGCCCAGAAGGGCCTGCTCTGACCTGCCCTGGGAGACACTGAGCTCCTCAGCCATGGAGGCAACCCAAAGACATGATGGAGCTCTCAGGCCCAGGAGCACAGGGTAGCTGGGCAGGCCCAGCGCTGGACGGTTTCTGCAACAGAGGTCTCCAGCCTCCTCTGGGCCTAAGACTCAGTACATCAGGTACCTCCTTGGCTTTGTTTCCATGTCCCAGAATTAGGAACTTTAGAACCGAAATGGAAACCTCTTTCCACAAAGATCCTGTCCAGAGTCACCAATACTGAGCCAGACCACCACCAAGATCGGCAGGTCCTGACTGCCTCAGCCAAACTCAACTGGATGCAGGTTGCAGCGGCTTTACGCGAAAGCATTGTTCTCAGAATCCTCATGCCCAGCACATCCTGGTTCCCATCCAAGGCTTTCCTGCCCGACATTATTCCTTCTCACCCCTACCCTCACATTCACTGCTTGACAAGCAGTGCTCACTGTGTCTCAAGTACAATGATTGTGCATTAAGCACTTTAATTTCCTGGCGCCTTATATGTATTAATCCCCAGGAGAGGCTCACAAATATTAATTCAAAGGAAGCTTTAGCTTAGAGAAGTGTTATCATTTACTCAAATATGCAGTTAGCAAGGGCACTGCTGGGCTTTAAATCTAGCTTTCCCCAGCTCTACAGCTGAATGCCTTCCACTTCTGGCTCCTGCGTATGCAGTCAGGGGTTTCCTGATCCTCTGAAACAAACCTGAGCTGGACTCTGCACTTACAGGAGTAGAAAATGCTCTGTCTGCTCTGTTTGTCACTGCAGAGCACAGCACTCTATGAGGGGAAATCAAAGGCAGAAGGGAAAGGGCGGAAAAAAGCGGCTCTGCAGACAAAATTCCTTTATCCAGAAACATTCATCAAAATCCCCCATGGCTCTGCCTCTGCATGGGCACTGGGGACACGATGACTCTGACTCAGCACCTGTCCTTAAAAGCTCAGAATCAGGGAGGGGAACAGAAAAGCAGAGACAGTCACAGGGCGTCAAGCTCTGTGGGGGGCTGGTTACCACGACCAAATCAGCAGCTGAAAAATAATGTACGGAATAGTAAAAAGATTTTAAGGGAATGTAATGATGAGCTGATAAGGAAGGAAAGAGGCTAAAACTGAGTCAGAATCAGAACCAACAGGGTGTGCTGAGCCACTGACGCTGATTTTTACCAGAGAACCTCTGCTGAGCCCAGATGTCCCGTAAGCTTTGATATGCATGACCTTAAAGGGTCAGGAGAGACAAGACCAAGCCACAGCTGGCCCAGGTGAAGTCCAACTGGTCTGCACTACAAAGATCTGGGCGCTCGGGACCAGGCCCTCAGGGTAAGGGAAAGTAGAAGCAGCAATCCTGTTCTCAGGCTGCAAGGAAAACTGCCTGACTTGAACTCTGGCTGTTGGTGGAAGGAAAACATTCTCCCCTGAGGAACTGTAACCACAAATCAGTCCTCACACTGGTCGGGGCTCACATGCATATTACTAAAGTGAATCTAAAAATCCTGGCATCTATGAAACTACTTTCAGGTGGTTCTGGTTTGTCAGCGCTCCGGGCAGAAGCAAACCCAGTAGTGTCCTAGAGGAACAACCTTCCACCAGACCCCAAGAATCCATGGGTAGGATTCCAAGGAAAATGACCAAAGAGTCAAAAATAATAAAACAGCACAACATTGTGAATGCACTAAATGCCACCGAACTATACACTTTAAAATGGTTAATTGTATGTTATGTGAATTTCACCTAAATAAAAGTTAAATAAAAATGAAACATGCAAAGAGGCATAATTCCATGATCAGAGAGTCAGGAAAATGAATTGTTTCAACTTTCCATTATATTTGAAAATTTCCATAATAAAATGTGGGAGTTGAAAAGATCACACCAACAAAAATTCATATATTACATAGATAATGACAGAATGTAAGAAAGGTATATTACAAATTTTTTTTAAAAAGGTAAGGCAGTAAGAAACAAAACTCTATAAAAATAACAGGTAGATTTGAAAGAAAAAGAATTAAAACTTAGAATAAAAAACTACTTAAAATTAAATCACACAAAAGCTGGAATAAATATCTCTGAAGAGAAAAATTTCCGGACTGAAGGATTTAAAAAGAAATTGTGCAGAATGCTGTCGAAGACAACGTGGGAAAGTAAAAGAGAGGTTAAGAAGATAAGGTAGGAGGATTTAACAGATATCTAACTAGACTTCTGGGAGAAAAAAGAGAACTGAGAAAAAGGTAGCAATTAAAGACATAACAGCTAAGAAATTTTCATAACTGGCAAAAGAAAGCATTATTCAGAAGTTAAATGAGTCTCAAACAGAATAAATAAAAAGAAATCCCAGACAGTTGTATCAAAACTACAGAGCACTAAAAGAGAATATATTGAAAGCAATTTGATTAAGACAGATTGTCTACAAAAGAACAACCGTCTGACTGACAAATCTCTTTTCAACAGCAATAATGTGCACCGCAGATAACAAAATACAAATTCTCTCTCACAAGTGAGGACAAAGACATTCTCAAAAAACCAAGGAACAGAAATGTATTAAAATATGTACTTCCACCTAAAGGCAAGTGATGCCAGATAGAGTCTGAGACATAAGAATGGTGAATGGTGCCATTCTTTAAGATGGCAAATACGTAGATAACCTAAGCTAACATTCGATATATAAAATAATAAAAATGTGGGGGGAGGATATAGCTCAAGTGGTAGAGCGCATGCTTGGCATACACAAGGTCCTAGTTCAATCCCTGGGACCTCCTCTAAAAATAAAATACGTAAGTAAACCTAGTTACCTGCCCCCTGCCCCAAATAAATAAAATTTAAAAAACAATAAAGATTTTATGGGTTTAGAAAAAGAAATCAACGAAAGAAAAATACTTGACAACAATTTGAGCCTTTTGATCAGCTGGAATCTCTAGTTCCTTATACTATGCAGCAAGAGCATAAAGATGTTCTTTAGTTTTAGACAA